GATTTATTTCCTTCAGTGTGTTCTAACGGTCATATTGTTTCCAATGGGAGAACAGGTACGTGGTGTCACCGTTCTAGCTGCACTTTGGCACAGTGAACTGAGAACTTTTCTCTGTTTTTTGGTCGGACTGTAAAGAGCCAAAATCTCTCTAAACTCCGGAAGTTAAGCGGCCTTTCTTGTCATCTTGTCGAGGATATTTTCTCCTGCTTTGAGCCGGTAGGTTTGGCATTTCCTTCAGAGTAGCTATCGCTAATTTCAGCTGTTTCCTTTCCGCTCCTGAGGTCTGTAAGCCCGCCTACCCAGATCCCTGCGACATGATTGGCTGCCTATTCGTAGTCAACTGGCAACTAGCATTCGAGGTGCATTAGCGACCCCTGTTTCCCTGTGGTTGGATGGTGTAATTACAGGTTTAAATTTATCAAACTTTTATCGAACATTTTTAATATTTATATTGACAAAAATTATATCGCGATAATTAGCGTTATCGTTTTATCACCCAGGCCTATCTGCAATACTCCTGAAAACTCTTACCAGTGTGAAGATACTGTATTACCAGCTGCTTTCGCACATTGGCTTAATAGGGGTCTGGCAGGAAAAAGTTTGGAACGTCTTTATGAAAAAATGTATGCGTTTGCGTTCACACATGCAGTCCACCCCCGAAAATGTTGTGTCATTTTCACGACTGCAATGGCTGAAATGGCCTCATGTTCATTGCTAGGGTACAACTGCGGAGAAAAAACATACTGCCTAACAGAAATCATGATCCAGCTGTTTTTATTACGTTCACAGAGATAGTACCTGTCATGTGCATACAATCTATGGTCGTGCACTGATCGCAGGGAATAAATGTCACCACACCCTCACGCTCACTGGAGGGAAAGTCCCCTGATTATATAATGCAGCATTCTCACATCAGCTCACTCGGACTTCATGCGGAAAAAATACAATAAAAAGTCGGGCTGGCAGGAGAAGCTCTGGATAGTTTTTTATGAGTTTTGTGCTAGTACACAAATTCAGTATTTATATCTTCATTTACACTGCCTTTTCCTGCTTTAGTTTCTGATCTTTCAGAGTTTTTGTGTTTTAACTTCAATACTCTTCAATTGCCGCCTCCGCTTCAAGACAGGTTCTAAAAACCTCTCCATGTTGTTATTTGCCTCGTATAAATTCTGGCTTGAATTGCAGAAAAATGTGAAAAAGAAAATGCACCTTAATGTGCCTATCCATCTGCTTCTGTTACCAGATTTTTAGGTGTAAGTTCATGAGGGAAAAAAGCAGGAGGACTTTATTTTCCATTAAGGTGCCAATGAACTACAAAAGAAGGAGACGAAGAATAAAAAGCCCAGCTGAGGTCTAAGTGGAGTTATATGTTAAGAATTACATTATTCATTGGCATATTCACTTTTCATTGCACTTTGGCCTATTTTGCTTTGAACGATGCATAAACTTTTACAGATCAGTCAAGCGTATGCAATGACTTTTTTGAAACTATACACCAGCCTCTAATTCTTCATGGCCTGCCAGCTATCCCGTCTGCTCCTTGCAGCTCAACAGACAACAAACGGAAACACTGGTGTCTTTTAAAGTCACAGCTCATTAACTTCAGTCCATATAATCAATCACCCTTCAATCACTCTGTAATTTGTCCCCCGTAATTACATTTTCCTTTCCTTAATGCTTTTGAAATTTAACAAAATATCGAGGTGTCAAAACTTGTGTGAGATGATCTCCTGTCTCAGAAAACAAAAAAAAGGCTGAACGAGTTTGTGACAATATTTTGACAAAGACTTTGTGTGAGTGTCGGAGGATTGACAAGATTGCCTTTAAATTGATATAAATATCAGCTTTGGAAATAAAAATACAGTCTGACAACACCAGTTACAACAGTCTGACAGATGTTTCCAGCTCGATCAGCAGTATGAATGAAAGAACATAATCTTTTATTAAAGCCTCAGCACACACTGATCAATGCCATTTAGTGTTACGGTGCTATGGATTAGGGATCAGGCAATAATTCAATTATGAGTGTAACGGGTCTAATCAGAATCATACTCGGGTAATATGACCTTATTATAGGGGTTGTCGGACCAAACAGTTCTGGGGACTTTTTGAAGTGCAACTATCCACTACGGAGTTCCCCGAGAACTACACACCTTGGAGACTTTTTTCTGTCTGCATTCACACCACCATGGTACCTACTCTAAAGCATCAGCTACGAAGGTTCCTCTAAACACGGATCTAGGAACTAATAAAGTTCCTAGATCCTGCGATGAGGAAGGAATAAAAAAGGAGGAGGGTTCAAACAGTTTCTAGAACTATGAAGAAGTTCCTGCGGTCTGAAAACACTTTGTGACTCTAGCTTTAAACTATAATTAATCAACCTAATTAACTATGCAGCAGATGATACATTTAAGATTGGATTGGATGGCAGAAAGTTGCTTACAGCTCAACTCTGATGAAACAGAAGTCCTTATATGTGCTCCTGTGGCCAATGTTCCTATAGTGTTACTGGAAAACTTGGTTCCCTATCTATGTTTGTCAAACCTGTTCTGCGCAATCTAGCCGCCTTTCTTTTGGTCAGTCACTGTAGCCGTTTTCACATATGCACTCAGGATAATATCTAGATAATTGCAGGAGGACTGCTCTGGAGATTTTCCTGACCTAGCTGTTCACATATGCTCCTCACAGCTGGATACTATCCCTGTCAGAGGGGAGGGGGCTCGGGGGATTTCCCGAGGTAAGACGTGACGTAAAACAGCAACGCAGAAGTAGCGGCCGTAGCAACAGAGCGTTCACAAAGTCCCTCCGGGTAGCCAAATCTCCAGAGTTTTTCAGGAGATTTCCGTATGTGTGAAAAGGGATGATGTGTTGTGCTGCAAAGTAATTAAATAAATAACCAAAAAGTGTTTAAAGTTCACTATACCTCATAATCATTTACGACTTCAGTGTTGCTGCGAGGCCTGCTTAAACACTTCGGTGTGAAGCAACATTTTCTTTGCATGCCATTTTGCCTTTGTTTTCACTACCTATGATGTGACTGTGTTTTTATGTGATTCTTATGACTGTTTTTTGTGTTTGATCACGTGGTGTGGCAGTGGCACGAGTGTGTGTGAGTGTACTGTATGTGTGCCTGTGAAAGTCTTGCACGCCTAAACTTTCACTCTCACACATCCACCAGAGCTGACATGATTAGTCAATTAGTCTATTAACAGAAAATCAAACAGCAGCCATTGCCTCCAGTCAATTCTGTGGCTCTGCTGTCTCCAAAATCAATCATGTAAAGCTTTTCTCTTTTTATGCATCTTAATTAAATATCTTTGTTGCTTCTGATCAAACAGAAAGAGTCATACAAAGTGATGTAACAATAAATTGTTAAAGTCACTTCTCAAGCACAAAAGTGAAAAACTTATTGGTTACAGCCTCTTAAATATTTATTAGTTATAAATAGTTAAATACATATAAAACTGTAGACTCTCTTGAACAGAACCAGCTGTTTGAAGACTCTACCATTGACTCCTGACAACTGAAATAGATGTTCCACTATTTTCTGACATTAACCGAGCTTAAATATTACTTTATAAAAAGATAAACGAGTCAATAAATAGAATGGATCATACATCTGAAGCCGTTCATCAAGGAATCTATCAGTAGAACAACAAAGCCTCTCGAGTGTGAAGGTTTGCTATTGGTTTAATATGAAAGAATGAATATTTGGATCGTTGGTTAAAAGACAAGCTTTTCCAATTTTGAACATTTTATTGCCAAAAGTTTTAGTCAATAAAACTAGAAATGCATTGCCATTACTAATTTATTGTTTTAGTCATCCATTAAGAACAAAGTTCAGTCATTCAGTATGTAAAGAATCTCTAATGTGAGGATTTGCTAACATCTGTCCTGTTCTCAATCACTGTTGTTAGATCAATATCTTTCAGATTTAGACTTTTAAAGTCACTGTGAGGACTTTTTACTTGGTTATAAAATCAATACTGATGACTCTTCATAATCTACAAAGGCAAACATGAGCATCAGCAACAAGCCTGACTATTTCTATATTGTAATTTTTAATGTCTTGAACTGCGGCTAGAGGGTGGACGAGATGATTGGACGCTGAAGGAAACAGCCTTATTTTTACATTTTCAACAGAAACTATTGACAGAGACAGACGCATGTAATTGTTAGGAGAAAGCAGGATAACTTTGTTTTATCACAAAATAACATGTATGCACGTGTGGGATGAAATGTGCAAAGAGATAGAGGTCCCGCTTTGAGTACAAAAACTAAGACTAAGTTCTTTACAGGAGCTTTAAGAGGAAAAAAAACTATCTGGACATGTCACCGTGAACTCTCTAAATATGTGACAGACATTTTTAATATTTTCTAACATGTAATACAGAGAAAATCATATGTTTATATTCATTAAAGTCTGAAATGGAGGTTAATAGAACCACTAGACATTTTAAGTGTTGCATGTGAGTAACAACATGTTATTAAAATACTGCTAAAAGGATGAAGTCTCTGGGGAATTTTGTGTTGATTTTCTCCTCATTTGGTGTCTGTAGGTCACCTGAATGCGTCAAACTCCTGACATCATATCAACACCTGAACATGTCATGAAGGATGATGTGAGCACAGCTGGCTGGCCTGCATCAGCCTGCTAGTCCCCACGAGCTAAAAACACACAAGCATGTTCTGAATACCAACAAACACGAGGCCCTCCTTCACGTGCACGAGCGAACACTCAGGCAGACTCCCCAAAAAGGAGCCCCAGAAAAGAAAAGAGAGGAAAAAAAAAACAGGCGAACAGACAAGACTCCAGAGGGGGGTTAATTACCTCCACGGAGCATCCACAAAAACCACAGCTTCGCCGGCTCACATTTCACCTCACATCTGGTTAAACGTACAAGCACGTAAGCTGTACACGTCAGGGGCTCCTAACGTGATTTTTCATCATTTCCCCGCTTTATCAGCAAGTGATACATGGAAAAGAACAACTCTCTTACCTTACACATCCAGGCCATTCTTATTTCTACGCAGACAATGGTGGACCGCTTGTTTTCGTCAGCCCCCCAAAACGCTGCTCGCCGCGTCCGTTTCTCCAGCCTTCTGTTCACGTATTCATCACCAGAGGAGACGCTGATACGGTGCAGTTAAATACGGAGGTCGGCTTCATAAATATTGGAGTGTACCGTTATTCGGCTCCTCTCTCGGGTTTTTTTTTTCCCCCCATGGAGCTGCTGGGACCTGGGCCGACGCTGCTCTGCTACTGGCCGGCGCAGACGCACAGCCCCGCCCACGCATGCGTCACGTGATCACAGCTGATTTCCTGACTTCTGCCGCTACAGCATCGCTCGTGTGAAAAGAAGCTGCAGCTTTCAATAAGCAGAGGCCCTTAATCTGTCTTTTTCGACAAAAATATCCTACAATACGTATTAGCAACTAAGCAAAAAATACCATGCCGTTATAATCACGTGCGTTTAGATTTGCCTATACAATCAAATTAGGGAATTAAACTTGTTATTGTAGGATAAAGAATATCAACATATGATAAGTTATTATAAAATCATCAGAATAGTGAAAATAAGTTTTCCTCCTTTTAATTTGGGCACCAGTTATTGTAGAATGAGTACTCTTTCGAAGTCTCAGAAAAATACACATAAGTTGGCAAACAACTAGCCTATCAAATGTAAGACTTATTTTGTGTGGGAAACCTATGGAAGCCCATTTCCGCCAGTAAAAAAAATAAAAATGAAAATAATAAAGTCTCATAATTTCAAGGTGTTGACTCTACCAACTGAGCCACAGCCGCAGGAATGATATCCATATATTGTGCTATTAAGATGTGATATCAAAGCAAATGATAAATGTTAAAGATGAATCTATTACAGAATGTTTTTTAATGTCATAAGATTGATGTTTTAAGCTTACTTGGTTACCCTCTTTGGTCAATAATACGTTAGTAATTGTGTTGAGTCAAATAATTTTTGTCTGTGATAGAGAAATGCAATCGGAGTACCAAGCTGTAGTAGACTGAAGTAGATTGTAGCTGAAGATCTATCCCCAAGATCAAGATGTTCTGGGAGCAAAATACTGTTTGAAAAAAGATTCCAGGCACACGCCGACATGCCGACACAAACACTTGAAGGAATCTTGGTGTTCATGGGTTACTTTTATTGACAGCTGTCCTTTTCTATCAGAAAGGTATCCTTACGTAGGGGAAACACTGACCATCATCCATTCTTAAGAAATGTATATTGATTCCGCAACGGCCGGCGTAATGTCCCAGCTTGTGAATTCACATTGCATAAGTGAAAGTGAAAACACAGTCCCATACACAGTCAAATATGGACACACACAGCACACACAGATCCTGTCTCGCCCCTGTAACGCCACTGTTACTACCTCCGAAGACGGTACAGAGGGGGGGATCACTTCGTCCCCCCATTTAAATTTTGGGAAATTCTGATTGAAGGCGGAACATCACAGGGACATAAATATGGCGCCTTGGAAGGGCAATCTAAATAGGGCTTTAGAGAAGGATCCATTAGTCCTTTAGAAACTTAAGTCATGCTGATAAAAAAAAACTCTTACATTTAGCTGCTATGTTTATATGGTATCAGGTGTATTTCTGAAAGGAGCCTCATCTTAGTTTATACGTTATCTGCTTTGGTGGGGAGATCGTTGAGGAAACCTCAGGTCTACTAGAGATATACGTATGTTTGCAAAGTGGAATTAATTCGCCTGAATACTAAAGTGTTGCAGAGAACAAAATGATGTCTGGGAAACCTTTCAGGGATCCTAATAGAAACTGTACAACTTGTTAAGAATATAGACCTTTTAGAAGGGTTTTCAGGGTTGAAACAAAAAACTGTGAACAGGTGGGACTCTTGTTTTCTATATCTGGTTATCTTGCTCAGGGTCACAGCAGGACTACAGAGGCTGCCACAGCATGACCTGGATAAGAAGTGGGTCATGTTGCTGCCCATCAAACATTGAAAAAAACAAACACATTCACACTGCTGCTGAATTTCCCAGTCCATGCTTTCTACATGTCTCTAGACTGTGAGAGGAAACCAGAGCACATAGAGGAAACATGAGCCAGCACAGTGAGAGCATGCAAACGCCACACAGGAAGAAGTCAGCTGGTTGGATCAGCTGTTTTTGTAGGCCTTATTTCCTGTCCAGAGGAAGTGATGTTTTACTCATGACAACTTAAGTTATTTCCCTATCATTGTTCTGGGCTCATCTTTTGAGGAGGAGAAGAGTCTAGCTAGAGACTTCACCCCTAAAGTCCAGTTCATTTGACTAGTGTGACGGCTCCGTGCCATGCTCAAGCACGGTACACTTCCTTGGCCGTGACACACTTCGGAGAGGTGTGCTTCGGCACGGTACAGTTCATGAAAGCACAAGGATGCGGGTACACAACGTTGACAGCATTTATTATGAAGAAATCCAAGTTTTCTGTTTGTATCTAATTAAAATGACTCAAAGCAAGGACACAATCGTGTTCTCCGATGCGTGGACATGGACTCCGCCGCGCGTCTCTTTTATTTTTTAAGTTTATTTATGGCTGTATCAGATTAAAATAAGCCATAAAGTCAGTAAAGTAGCTGTCATGTTCTCTGTGTTGTTCTCCGATGTGCAGACGCAGACTCAACTGCACGTCCCTTTTTGTCTTTTTCTGGAGTCAGTGTGTTTGTAAACGCGTTACATTAAAACATAAAGCATGCAGGTAACTGTGCTTAGGCCCGGTTTGACTTGCAGCAGTGTGACCGCAGGCCGTGAAGGCCAGCGGGGGAGTGGGGAAGAGGGGGGGGCAATTGTGCTTCAGTGTGGCACGGTACGGATTGCCAGTGTGACCGCGACCTTAAGGTGCACTCACACTAGCCAAGTTGTCCCGTACTGTGCTTGAGCAAGCCCCCCCCTCCCCATTCCCTCGCTGGCCTGCACTCACACTGCTCCAGGACTAACCGGGACTGAGCACGGTTACCTCTCGTACATATATGGTCGTAATACAACACATGCATGCCTTTACGTAATTATGAAGCCTCCTTAGTTTACAAGACAGGAGGAAAGACGAGCTGACAGGTCCGCGTCTGTACATCAGAGAATAACACAGAAACCATAACAGCTACTTTATTGACTTTGTGGCTTATTTTGAGTAATTTTAGTCAGGTACAGCCATAAAACTCTCAGTAATGAAGGCTGTCAGCGTGGCACCCTGGGTATTTTAGTAGCTAAGACTATGCCTGTGATTATTGGTTATCAGTTATATGATTACATTGGTGTCCCCCTATTATTTTTCTGGTTAAATGTAATATATTTAGATGAGTTGTGCAACTTAAAATAGGACAGATCCACCTGCTTAGGCTTGCCATATTTGATCAGGTTCTTGGCTACACCTATCTTATTACATGTATTATTTTATGTTGCTTTCAGTATGTTTTTGTATATATTAAGTGTAAAAGACAAGGGGAGAAATGGCAATCTCAGAGTAAATCTCTTTTTCCTCCTCTTCTCTGAATAATGCAAGTATTGCTTAATATTAGTGAGAGTCCAGCAGTGTGATTCAGACAAACAGGAAATATATACTATTACATCATAACTGAACCAGCAACCTCAAGAGTCATGAGAAGTTCAGATATTGTTCAAGAAACCATGTGTTGACTCAATATTGAGAATGAAACAGTACATTTTTGTATATATATATATATATATATATATATAAATATGAAAGATTACATTGGATGGGCGATTTAACCAGTAAGGTTTGTGTAATACCTGTCGATCGAGAAAACTAAGAGGAGGACCCAGATGCAGAATTAACAAAAAATATTTAATTAAACAAAAAGGCAAACAAAAACTCACTTCAAAAATCCAATCAGGAGAAAACAAGGAGCCACGGGTAAACTGACATACAACAACCGCCACCGAAAAACACATACAATGAACTGACACAGAAAGGAAGAAACACAGAGACTAAATAGACACAGGGGTAATCAAACACAGGTGAGACTAATGACACAGGTGAAGACAATGAGGGCAATCACAATGCAGGGAAACACTGAGGACAACTACAAAATAAATACATGAAACACTGAAGACACACAGAACTCAAGAATGAACAAAACACACTAGAACATACAGAAACACTAGACACTGAAAAACAAAACTAAAAAAGACCAAATCATGACAACCTGGGGATTGCCCAGAAACAATAAGATTGGTAAACAATGTTAATTTGGTAACAAACCTTTAAAAATGTCTTATTCTACATCAATTACACACCCGTAATCTAAAACATATCGTACATTAATCGCAAAGCTCTGTCAGTTCTTCTCAAGTTGAGTATATTCTCATTATGTTCTATTTAACGTAAAATACTCAAACAAATTGCTATATGGAGATCACAGTGGTTTGGATGGTTGTTGTTTTAAACTCACATTAAATTTTTTCAACACACCCAGTCTGATATTTTTTTAAAGCAAATTGAGTCAACTTATTGCAGATAGAACTTCTCGTTGGATCATTTGGCTTATCCATTTTGTGAAATCTGTTTGTGTTAAGGTTTGTTCAACCTTGGTACCTGATTTTCATTGCCTATTCATGTTTAATGTAAAATAAAATAAAATCTTTTTTTTTTTTTTTAATGGAAGACTACTTTAGTCGACCCTGATCTCTTGACTTTACATGTTCTCAACAGTTCGACTTTATGAAAGCAGAGAGGAGGGGTGTGGGTGAAAGAAAGGTTCAAATCATGCTAGAATTTTCTTAACAGCATTAACCTTGAAAAGGTTTGAATTCATTGTATAACCCAATCTAAAGACACAAAGAACATAAACTAAAGGTTGTAGCGCCTGCAGAGTCAGAATCCCCTTTCTACACACCTCCATTATCCTCTGTCATCCACCCACAGTCATCTCACACTCCAATGAAAAACAGCCACAGTGCCCGCGAAGTCTGAATCCGTCCTCCAGGAAGGGCATTTGTATAGGTGCAAGTCACCGGTGATCGGGCGGAGAGTCATTGAAAGACAGTCAGTGAAGGAGAAGTGTTACCTCGGCATAGTCCGTGTTATATCTGTTTTGTGTGACATCTTCGTCGCTGGAGGTCCAATGCTGTCAGGCCAGATTCCCTGTCGGATTTGTGTGTTCCTCTGTTTGGATCAGCTGTTCGTAGGTATCAGGAGATGTCGGTTCAGATGGATCAAAGACCGACTTTAACCTACTACTGACTGACTT